TTACATTACTAAATAAAAGTATGAAATAATAACCTTAATATCAAAGTCTAGCTTTACAATAATGATATGGAAAAAAAATCTCGAAACCTATATTCTCATAAGCTTTCCTCTTAGTTACCAGGGACAAAGATGATTTTTTATCCCTAAAGAGGGAGATAGGGGGCTGAAGGAGGGTCACATAGAATAGTTAGGGTGCAAGTCTTTTATATGGTTAGGTTCTTCCCACGGAAGAGCTCCGCTGTCACCTAAAAGACTGCAGTTAGCCTATCGGATAGAACTCTTTATGAGGATGTGACTACAGTAAAGAATTCATGGATAAAAGATACACATAGGTCGGCTCACCGCTGTTGGTTGTTATGTTATAAATACATATCTGCTGGCGCACCTTTCATTCAATATCTCTTTCCCCGTCTACTCTGTCTGAGATGGATCTTCCCGCTCGCATTAAACCCATGGCGCTTCCCGTTTTTCTTTCTTTCGTTCGTTTTAAAAATGGGGGAAGGATTGATTCAAGGAAGTTGATTGATTAAAGTGAAAAGTGACTATGTATTTTCTTTTCTTATTAAGATAGGGTTAATTAAATAAAGTCATTCGTACCATACTCTTTTAATCAAATACCGCTGGTAGATCTTGGTAAATCAGTATATGTACGAGATTCTAAATTTTCTTACTTACATTACTAAATAAAAGTATGAAACAATAACCTTAATATCAAAGTCTAGCTTTACAAAAAATTTTTCGTATCACCGCCCACTCTGCAGTTGTATCTTCAGTATCTGGAAGGTGAGAGAATAGTGAGATAAAATATTTTAATAAGCGATATTATAAAATCACAGTATGGTACATGTAATATGTAGTTTTTTAATACACAATAAAACATATATATATAATATTTCTAAAATAGATACAAATCACAAGATGAATGCACAAATCATAAACGAATTTATGTTGCATACTTCATCACTATTATAGAGGATCAGTCAGTTACCATACATTATGAGTAAACACAGATATTTATCACCGATTCCCCATGTA